AGCCCTGTTGTTGTGGCTTTATTATAAAGAATGATCAGTTTGAAGCCTCTGGTGAGCCAGCTGTGCCCGTAAGAGTGTGTGAAATATCAATGGAGCGGTGATGGCTGCTGAGGCATTTGGGAGTAGTGGGTTTTTAAGTGTTCTGCAGGAAAGATGCAGGGCAAAGTAATGCTGGGTTAAGTGACTTGTTAACTTGTAAGGCTGCCATCATTGGGATCCTGAAAAGTTTGTTTGGGGTTTTTTTGGAAAGAAACCACTAGCCTTTATGCTGATAATGGAAGCTTTCTTTTCTAATTTCAATTCTCTCCAATTATGCTGATGTCCAAATCTTAAAAACACAAATGGACATTGATTGAGACATGACCGTCATCTTTCGCCATGCAGATGGGTATTATTCCTGACAATTAAACCAAAAGTTAAAGAACAAGCCAAAACCCCTTGTCCTACAGAGTTTTGCACAGAGTGCACTGAACCGTTGGGTGTGTAGGGGCTTTTCATGGCAAATTGAAATGGAAAGCAATGGTCATGGAACTCCTTGGGTTCCCTTTTCTGCAAATCTCAATGCAGTGTGGATTGAAAGGGTGCAGTGCTGATCTGTAGCTGGTTTGTTAAGTCAAGACACCTATGGACTCAGCGTCTCAGTGACTAAACTGGTTATACTGAGCACAGTCCAAAGGATTGGTACAAATGCTGTAATTTATGCCATTGATGAGAGTGCATTTGGGAACCTTTGTGTCTTTTTTCCCATCTGTTGGTAAAGCTGTGCTTGAAACGGTTCATCCAAATTGGGAGCTGAGAAGTTCTTTTCAGACTTGATGCATTTCAAAGAAGCATGTAACCTTTCTTCCTTTTAGAATTAGAAGAATCTCCCTTAACTGTGAAGAGTGACATGGCTACTATTGTCAAGGTTATGCAGCTACCAGACTCAGGCCTTGAAATCCGGGACAGGATGTGGTTAAAAATTACCATCTCCAATGCAGTGATAGGTAAGCTGATCAAAGAACGCTGTGGGGGGAAAAACCCAGTGACTTTTTGTAAATAGGCTGAAGAAACTATATGATTTTTTTTTTTTTATTTTATTTTCCCCCTGTCTATGACCTCTTATATTCCCTTGACTTGGTATTTGTGAACAACTCTAAGTGTGACAGGAAATAACTAATAGCTCTTGTTTGAGTTTGGACAGCCAAAAATACTGCATGTTTCTCATGCCTACACACAGGTGGTCCTTAACCCTTACTTGTTATACCTCAGGTTTTCCATGTAACTACCTGTGGCTCTGACAATCTGCCCAAGTTCAACAGAGCAACAACCCTTGTAATTCCAGTTCCAGACAGCCACACAACCTTAATAAAGCATCTTAATTACATTTAAAATTACCACAACTAGTCTGCCTTTGATTCTGACACTGTTGTGACCTGACCTGTGCTAACATTTGGTCAATCTAGGTTGTAGTTACTTTTTGCTGAGAAAGGGATGGGAACCCAGGTCTTTTGACAGTCTAACATCTGCCTCTTGAGGAAGGTGACTCTCCTAACCACTTCCTTTCTTTATATCCTGCATCATTTTCATGGTGCAACTCAGAAGGGGTTGAACAGCGTAACTATAAAATTTTCTCTGTACGTATTTGGTGTCACTGTAATGTAGTGTTCAACTGGATGCAAGATAGTTCTTTGCTTGCTTTATTGATGTTTGGTGGTAACTAAGCAGTTAGGATGAGATGTGAAAATAACGTTTTAAGCTCTTTGCAACAAGATTGCTACATATTCATTCATATTTGCATTCAGTACCTGGCACGGTAGTACTAGTGGGCTGTGAGATAAATGGGAAGATTAAAAAACCAAAAAAGATCAATTTGACTCAGATGATCCTGTGTCTCCTCTTCCTATTCTCATTTTAGGAGCAGATGTGGTTGACTGGCTTTACACACACGTGGAAGGCTTCAAAGACCGACGGGAGGCTAGAAAATATGCCAGCAGCATGTTAAAACACGGCTACCTCAGGCACACTGTGAACAAAATCACCTTCTCGGAACAGTGCTATTATGTCTTTGGAGACCTCTGTGGCAGTAAGTTCCCTATCTGTGAAGGGCAAAGCTGCACGTGTGTTGTCTCTTCTGTGCTTGCAGGATGCACAGAGGAGAGTCCTGTAGGGTTTCACAATCCTACAGGCCGTTATTCTGAAGTTGCGTGAGAAGCGGTTGACACTTCCTGTTAGATCAAGCAATTAGACCACATGGAAGAGAAGGATGAACTCATCAAATAGGGCATTGCACTGAGACTCAAGAATTTATTTCTGGTGATGCCACAGACTCCCTGCTTGTCAGTCACACTCCATTTCCAATCTGTAAAATGGGGATGATTCCTCCTTGACTTACGGAAATGCAAAGGTACTTTGGTGGTCAGTGGTAAATGCTGATGTCTGCCCTACTGCATGTGTTATTTTGAGTGAACTCTGGAGGCTGAGTCCTCCTAGTCCCTGACCACACTAGGTACTGTGTCAGCAGTTGACTCCTGCATATTAATGACGGCTAGCTAAGAACACAGTCTTCACCTTTTCTCTCTTTTCCAGATATGGCTGCACTGAACCTTAACAATGGTTCTAGCGGAGCCTCAGATCAGGATACCCTTGCTCCACTTCCGCATCCTGCTGCTCCCTGGCCGTTAGGCCAAGGATACCCATATCAGTATCCTCTGCCCCCTCCGTGTTTTCCACCAGCATACCAAGACCCAGGCTTTAGCTATGGTAGTGGCAGTGCAGGAAGCCAGCAAAGTGAAGGTAAGATGGTTAATCTGGTATTTACTTCTCCAGCTGTCATTATCCCTAACCATTTGCTTGAGTTCCTTTGTACTGTCTGTGCTCCTGTCTTGTGGTTTTGTATGCTACCTGCATGGATTTGGTGCGACCGCACTTAATCAAGACTGTTCGTGTGTGTGATGGAGTGGGTTAGGCTTTCAGCTCTGTATTGAAACTGCCAGCAATGTTTTAATTGAGTCAGTAGAACAGAATAGAACAGAATAGATTCTCTACCCCACGCGAAATATCAGTGGGGAACTAGAGCCAAGCTGTTTGTCATGTCCGTGGTGGCCTGGGCATCTGTACTTTTCTTACCCAGCAGCACCACATGATAAACTACTGCTTAGATTATGCTGATCAGGCCAACATTAATGACTCAATTGTCCACCTTGTTAAAACAGATAAACTATTGCCCCCCGTTTTAGAGGTCACAGCCATTGCCAACAGTGGGGCTGCAGTTGCTTGATATTGCTAGAAATGAGGCCATTCTGTTGGTGATGGAACAGGCATTAGAACCAAGGTGCTCTTGGCTTTCACTTCAGTGCTCAGGACAAAAGGCAAATCACTCTCTTTGCTTGTGTGAGACAAGCGTGAGGTGGCCAGCCAGATGTTTTACAGGGCTGAAACACTGCTCACAGGGAGGAGAGTCTCTTTTGTAATATATGACAGGGAAAAAAAAAGATAATACTGCATGGATTAAAAACCTGACCTCCTCCTTTCCTGCTGTAGGATAATTTTGTGGTTCATTTTTAAAGCTTAGTAAATAAAAATGATGTATTTTTTGGCTGTAGAGTTTGGGTTTTTTTTTAAAATCGCTTCCAAAGTGAATTTTGCTTTTGGAAATGCTGCCAGTAAAGAAGGGGTGAGGATTATTCTTTCTGTGTTTTTGTGGTGAACATCCAGTAACTTGGGTGTAACGTCTTTCTGTTTACTGCAGCCACTTAGATTTTGCAAAATTGCACAAAAGAATTTCATAACAGGAACTTTGTACAAGATTTTAGTGGTATTGCTTCCCACCTTATCTCAAAATAAGTGTCTCTGAGGAAGCTCACAGTGGTTCCAGAGGTTTTTGAACTGCAACCTGATTGTGCTGGAAAGAATGTGATTTTTATTTTTTTATGGCAGCTGGTTCTGTGGGAAGTAGAATATTGTATCTCTGCTGCTGGAATAGGAAAGGTATGGTATTTTATCCATGCGACCTGTTTTACTAGCTAAAGAGAGCCTTATGAAAGGCACCAAGATACTCAATTTTGAAGGGTTTCAACGCTTTCCTTGTTCTTCTTTTGGAAACTACACTTCTGTGTTGTTTCTTGTTTTGTAACTGTTATTCCCTTGTTTTATTCTGAGCAAGCATTAGACTGAAGGATTCATAGAGGAATGGCTGACTCTAGGGGATTGGTAAGCTTCAAATGCCTCCATAATAATAATGAATTCACAGCATGATCATTTAGACTCTTGTGACCCAAATGTTTAGCTGTATTTTTTCTTTTTTTTTTTTTATTTCTTTTTAATTGTCTTGGACGCTCAACCTGTCTTAATGCACAGTAGTCCAATAGCGTGGCATTAGCATATCGACCTGTCTGGCCCTGCGTGACTGTGCTGCAGCAGCTACAGAGGGAATGGCCTCAGATACCTTGCTGTCAGCTCAGATGGGAATATCCTATCACCAGTCTCTTCACTGCTCTTCGTAAAATAAATAATCCCAGCTCCTAATTTATTAGCCTGATGTCATCCATATGGATCGGATTTATGTTACCAGTGCCCTTCCACTGCTCATTTACTGAAAGACACTTGAGCACTGTCCAGATGTCTCAGGCAGATACTAAGAGTACTGAGACACAAGGTTGCATTGGTCACTCTTAATAGAGAGTGTTAGAACTGGATTTCTTGTGAAGTCACTCTTTTATGTGCGATGTTAGACTGTAACTGAATTCATCTGGTGAATAAGAGCACTGCTGCAGAGCCCGGTGAATGTCACATCATTTGAGATGAATGCAGCAGATGATTACAGACAAATGCCTAAGATTTGGGTCAAGAGACAGACTGAGACTGTGTTCTGGTAGGCAGATCTGGGGAGGAAGATCGAGCAAAGTTTTATGTGATGTTGCAGTTCTGTTCAAGGCTCTGTTCCAGTTTAGGTTACTGCTTACTTCATCTGAGCCACATCATCTGACCCTGCTTGTGCTACCCAGGGCTTAGGTTATTTTTAAAGCCTTGAGCAGGTTTGCTGTAGGGAATGGCACTCCTGTCTCTGAGACAGGCCAGTCCCTAGCTGCCAAGAAGGTGACACTCTTGTTTCATTGCATTTAAACTCGAGGCTTAGAAGGACTTTCTGATTGCTTGTTCTGTGACAGGATTTAAAGGCATGTCAGGGAGAGAGTGAACCTCACCATGACCAGAGGAGAACGGCTGTGCTGCTGATTATTGTTAGATAGATTGCTGTAATGGTAGATGGTTTCTCTATTTTCTTTCTGCCATGTAATCAGCTTGGAGTGCAGCTGCAGAAAGCCAGATTCTTTTGAGATAAGAAGTCTGCATTAACCACTTGACCTTTTGGAGTCTTGGCAGATCAGCTAGAGCTGCTACTCCAGAAGTACTGAAGTCTGGAGTAGCAACGTGATGGATTGCCACAAGGCAGTCTCAGTCCTACTGACTGTGGAAGACGTCTCAAGATCAGTAATACAGGCTTTCGGTGCGGCTTGCTTTCTTCCCTGCGTGATCTTTACTCAGCTACAAGCTATGGACCTGGCAATAAATTCTTGTGTATGGGGAGGCTGCATCAAGGAGTAATGACTTTGGGTACGGTTTGCAGGGTTTGGATGGGTGGCAACAGAATGCATCGTGAGATAAAGGCAGAGGCATATTAGCTGTAGAAGGGTTAAAATACAATGTTGATTTTCTTCTGCTGTGAACAATGTGCCACACTGAAGAGCTTACAAAGATGCTTCTTGGGGATAATCTCTATGTTGTTCTTTGGAGCAAAGGCTGTAGCAGTCAACCTGCTAACAAGTATTTTCTTGTCTCTTATTAATCTTTACAAGATTGTTATGAAACATTTGAAATGACAGCTCAGGGAACACCTTACCTCTTCAAAAGGCCCACCTTAATGAATCTTTGTAGTATTTGGTGGAGGCAGCGGAACCCAAGTTAGCATCTCCATTTATAGATGGAAGACAACTGAGGCACGAAGCAGGACAGTGTTTTTCCCAGAGCAGAGAAGAGCTGATAGGGGTTACGATCAGCAAATACAACTTCAGAGTCCCAGGCTCAGAATACTAACTTCAAATCCAGTGATTTTGTACTCTGTGTTTTCCATCTATCCCCAGCTTTCCTTGCACTCTGCAGGGGAATCTAGCCTTTCCACCATACAGGCCAGGTCAGTCTAGTTTTCCTGTCTCTTCTGTTTGCCTGCTCTAAACATCAGCTGGAGCAGATGGAAGGTCATGGTTGTCTGTAGTTCAAGAAAGGAGCAGCTCAGAATCATTCTGTTTTTCCTGTTTCAGTGACCCCAGTGACTCAGGGGCTCATTCAGACTCAAAAGCCTGTCCCCCGTTCCACTGGCTGGGGGTCTTTTTTGGGGAGACAGTCTTGCACTCAGATGGCATGAACTTAATGAGGTATTCTGTGGGTTGGTTGGTTGGGGTTTGTTTTTTTTTTTTTTTTTTTAAAGAATAATTGACTTGGAAATGTCTCCTGACATCGTCCTAGCCTGTCTCTCATGGTAACAGAGCACAACCTTCAACTTTCTTGTAAATTCAGTTGCAAAGTTTAGTTAACCTGGTATGTAGCAACAGCTCAGCTTACATGCCAGCAGCAGTCCTTTGTTTTTCTGAGCTGATTCAATGGTCTTTGCTGGGAACATCCTTCATCTTACCGATTCATTGTAGAGCAGTTCAACAAATAACTGTTTTTTGAAGAATTCTCCAACAGCAGAACCCTGTAGTGATGAATTTTAAAAGAATCTACCTGCTGAAGCCAGCAAAAGGACATCTGTTAACCTCAGGTGGTTTGGCCCTGGGAACCAGTATGCCCGGTGTGACCAAGGATGATAGAGAAGGCAAATGAGTTTCTTTTTGAAAAGTTTTTGCCGATAGAAGATATCAAAGACGGAGACAGTTACAATAAGATTGAACCTCATTTGCTTGAGTCAAAACCCAAATGCTTGCTTCTTCCTTCCGTTTTCGCTCCTCCCCTCTCTCCAGTCAGTGGGGCGGCAGCGGAGCAGATGGCTTTCAGGCTAGCTGCTGCTTTCACTGTGCAAGCTCTAAGGTGTCTACGTGTACCTGTGCATGGCACAACCTCCTCAGCTTTGTTCTACTGATCATCATTGCTAAGTCCCATAAGCCACCAACAGCACGTTCAGGCCTGGTTTTGTCATCGTTGTTGCCATTACGATGGTCATACCTGGATCTGTGGGTTTTGGTAGGAGCTGATGTGGGAGACAGCAGTGGACATGAGCTAATTCTGTTTTTCTGCCTGTCCTTTTTTGCTCGTGGGCTTTAGGAAGCAAAAGCAGCGGCTCAAACCGAAGCAACAGCGAGAACAGCAGGAGGGCTCTTGGCAGAGAGAAGGACCGCAAGTCGGCTGGCAGCGGCAGCGAGTCTGACCACACTGCCCGCAGCGGGGGCGGCGCCAGTGTCGTGCGTCGGGAGAGGCCTGTCAGCCAGCTCAGCCACCGGAGTCATGTCTCTGCCAAAAAAAAATCCTGCTCTCGCCCCCCCACAGCGAGAGAAGCCACCACAGCCATCATTCTTACGGGCCTCCAGGAGTGCCGCCCCTCTACAATCTCCCCAAGCTGGGCTCCAAAGTCTACGGGACGAGCGGACCCCCTGGAGGACCCCCCGTGAGGGAACTGAGCTCTGTTCCTCCAGAGCTGACGGGGAGCCG